ATAGACAACTAAGAGCAAATATAACCAAAAAAATTCACCGTGGTGAATTTCTCTTTCATGATCAAAATGTTGCTACATTTACAAAGGGATTTGCTGTTGAGAAGGAACACGTTCGTTGCTACTTATGTCATCTTAACAATTTAAAACACAAAAATATGCGTGAAATAGGTTGAGCACAACAACAACAAACTGATTGTACATTAATGGGTAAATGTTAACTAAAAGATATGGCGATATCTGAACTTGATAAATACATACAACATCAGTTTGTCCAGGAAGGGTAAGAATCAAGATAACGTTAGAGCTGTAACATGTTCTAGGAAAAGCTGACAGAGATTAGATTCAGAAATCACAGGCCATTAATAGATACACAGCATATTCTACAAAAGATGATTCAGAGATTGATAACATTGTTGTTCAGGAAATCAGGGGTGATGAAGAAAGATAATTCAGGACGTCTATACCACCAGATCGGAGGACAGCAGGAACCTAGAGACAAGTCACAAAACATTAACTTTAGAGCTATTGTGAACCAAGTATTTAATAACATAAATTAAAAGTTCTCTTTGCGAGCAATGTTTTGAAGCAGATGACTCTCATCCACTGAATAGACACAGAAGACTGAGGTGCGCTGGTCGTCACTGAATTTACCGCTCGTTTATCTTGACGAGAATATATGAGCGAGAGATATGAGCGTCGGACATTGAATCAACAAGCATGTGCGACATTTGTGTTGATAAACATTGATTTTCCCACAATCCAATGCGCTCTTCAAATGGAAATTACAAGTATGAGGTTTGACCTGGGCCACCGGTTATACCTTTCAATCACCTAAAATTACCTAATTAAAGCTTAGAAACGTCCCATTTTGTACTCGTTGATCTGATCAAAGTCGCCATCTTTGTTTATATGTGACCCAAATATCTCGCGCATGCGTGGCGCGACGACTACCGCCCTTTAATATTTCTTCCACCATTTAGTCGTGAAAATGTGTCCTTCTGTGATGTGACTTGCTCTGTCGACTGATTGCATATGCCACACGAGATGTTGAGAAGTCATACAGGAAAATTGAGCAAAGTCTTAATGTCCGTGATAGCCTCAGAGAATTGTGAACAATTTCGCAGGAAAACCGCGTATCACGCTCATTTGCATATACCTCAATAACCTTTGTGATCACGTTATCCTATCCCGAACTGCGCTGGTGTTGTGTGTGTATTGCCGAACTTTTTTGCGTTGTAATACAGGAGACTGGACACGAAAACGAGGTTCCACAGAAAAAATGTGTGCCCATGTTTAGAGCATAGGGAGATACTTAATTATCATCTTGTTAATGTAGTTCCATGTACTAAATATTCTGATAAAAAATGGGAATTACTCAGGACATGTATGATCCCTTTGACAGTGTGTAGAGCACTTTAAATTTAGTGGTTAGTTGTACATAAAATACAATATTTTCCATGAAGTAGAGGTCTCATAAGATACATGCAATATGCAGCAGTGTTGATGAACTCAAGTTACCTCATAACTTGGTCCGACGTAACCTTGACTTAACCCCCCCCCTCCGAATGCCATGAAAGGGAAGTTTTCCTCTGGATTATATGCCTTCGTAGCTAACTGAACTATATATTCATAACAATATATCTTGTCATTGATGACTTTTGCTATAATAATGATGGTGTTCAGCTATTCAGTGAACATTGCTTCTCATGTGTCAATGACATTGTTAGTTCGTTATAAAAATTTAAAAATATGTTTTGGGAGATCCCCACACAAAAAAACTTACACAAACCATACAATTTTAAAGGTCTCTTTCTTATATTTAAGGTTGGAGAATAAACCCCCTTCTTTCTTAACATACCAGTAAATTATCCCTGAATAAACAAAACAGTCTAAAAAGTAAAAATGTATCAAACGATATATAATAACAACAAAATGAAGAAATGTTCTCATATTCAGTGACGCCATCTTTCCTTTCTAACTAACAGTCAATTTCGTTCATGATAGTCCGATTCCGCCATACACAAAAACGTGAATATATAATGTCAAAAAATATATATATGTTTTAAATATCACTTTGTTACACGTGCTGTGAGCTGTTGTTTCGTCGTTTCTATCCAGGCATTCTCCTGCCGCACTAATATATCCGATTTTGTTTTCTCTCCTAAAGCTCACTTCCAATCTAATGTCCTCACTGTTTCAATTTCGTTGACGGGTTGCCTTTTGTTTTCCCAATCTTTTTATCACTAACGGGTCTTCTTTGCCCCATTCTGCTGCAAATTCCTTGTCCGGTATTCCGGTATTGTTCTGAAAATCCAAGAAGGCATCAGCTACCTTCCGGATATACATACCGGTCTCAACTCCCAGGTTATATATCGCCAACTGTACTAGAGAGGTTTCGTCCATCTCGTTTTCAGAGTCATCATTTGAACTGCTATCTACTGCCCTGGGCCTTGGTCGGGGATCGGTTGTTTGAGGAGCCCTTTGTTGCCGTTCCCCTGTTGGTTCAGTAGCTCCACTTACCCGTGATGCAGTGGGAATGGTTTGCTGTCGCATCTCCCCAGCTGGTGCGGTCGATGATGTAGGCTGCATCAGGGATGGATGATTCACGGGCCTATTTATGTTGGCAAATGAACAAGATGGAGCGTTCAATTGTAATGGTAGGGTTGGTATACTGACCTGCCGGAGTTGTTATCTGCTTTCCCTATCAGGAGTCACTAGATTTAATGTAGTTGCGGTCCCTAACCCCACTACTAATAATTCGGGGTGGAAATCCCTCACGTGAGCATCATAGTCTTGTCGGCTCCAAGTGGGCATGAAGCACACCTCACACGCTATCCCTGCCATTGGTTTCTAACTTTGTCGGTTCGGTGGCCGGTTGGCCATTGCTTCCTTTCGTGTATAATCACGGTCCATATTTTCGAAAGTGATTTTTGATTTACGGTTAAGTAAAACAAAATTACATTAATGAATGTGACTGTTAACTTTTACCAAGAAATCCTTAGCACCCCGTTGGCAGGCCAGTAACGCTGGTTCTCACTACAAGAGATTACGACCCCCTGCCAAATGCTAAGAACAACTGAAACATATATATATACACACATACATGAATATTGTCCACCTATGCGGATGTTTGTGCAAGGTTTTTATGACCGAATGCTCTTACTGACGTCAACCAAACTTATTATGTGGGAAGTTGGCACCCAAGGCTGACAGGTACTACATCTTGCCCAAGGGTGACCTGGAGATAGTTGTGGCAAAGGGTAACCTAATTCTCCGGAGTAAAAAACTCTACACCCGGATGCAGTTTTAACGTCGTGAAAATATACTCAACAGCATTTACCAACTGAATTGTAGTAATCCATTGTCTAATGAACAAAGTGCGCCTCCACACGTCCATGTCAATTCAAACTGTTGTAATTGTTCAATAAGTTTATAATATGCATATTCTGATTTGACGTTTGTCAGAAGTAGTAAAATTGCAGTGCTTCAGGAAACCGGTGGTGGGGTACGCCCCATGTATGATGCGCCACTGTAAGTCACCCTCAAACTTTGTGATTGGCAATGCATAACTGTTTTTAACATTTGGTTTGAAATCAGTAGGTGGACTGAGTATGTCTCGCCAGACAGTGTCCAATTTGTATGAATGGTGATTTATATGGAGAACCATTAACAAATATTTTCCTAAGTATGATCTGATGAAGTTCGGGGTCAGTGATGGAGTGAGCAACGCCAAGTTGAAAATTATTTTTTTTAGTTATTTGGCTGGTCTCAAATGTCCCCATTGTCTCTATAATTTTTTTTTAGCCTGGACTGATGAAGGGCTCCATACCGGCTCAGAACAATGTACGATGAACGAAATTAAGAAACTAGAACACATGTGGTTGTCATTTAATCCTCCTTCGATGATTTTAGATACAGAGGTGTTGGCAGTTCACCAGTATTCCGTCATTAATCTCAATTAAAGTAACTTAGTGTCATTAATTTGTTTTAACTGTCTATTAGAAGATCTCCAAAGAAAACATTAGCAGTATCAAATTTGGGTCTAATTACTTTCCCTTTTTTGTCGTTTACCAACATCCCATGTGGTTCCTATCTGAATGAGTAAACTCAACAAATGACAATCACCCGGGTCACGTTGGCCTAATCGTGTGGCAGATCAACCCAACTTAACATCGAAATCACAACTTTTACTTATTTGATTTTCCTCTGCCTTCTAACACGTCGTACCTCATAACCCACATAGTGTCCTTGTGTTTACTCGTCCAGGTATACTGAAATATCACTCAATCATTCTAACACACTAATAAAAAATAAAAGAAAAGAATTTACTACTCCCCGACAATGCAAACTGAAAAACCAATTAAATACGCAGAATAATATATATAAAAAAGACAAGTTACTATCGTTTCAGTCATTCTTTGAACGATTATGTTTAACTAAATATTGCTACACTACAGCAAGTTATTATCAACATTGTCGGTAAATGTACAGCAATTGCTTCCAATGTTGTTGAAGTTGTTTTTCTACAATAAAGTTTGTTTTGATACATTTGCGACGCACCCAGACTTCTAGTCGCCGTCATTGGACCCACAACGCATTTCAACTCGGACCTGATCGGACTGACGGCATGGCGGAATACTTATTCAAAGTAGAGTTTGTTTATTATCGGGATACAATAATTATACCAATATATATATATATATATATATATATATATATATATCACAAGCTGAGTTTCATAGTGATGACTTAGATTACAACAGTTTTATCGACCGGCCTCACTAGCGAGAGAGACACCATTTTTACGGCGAATGAACGCACTTCGCGTTCACATTGATATTATAATTGATACTACAACTACATGCACACATTTCCAGTTTATAGACATATTCAGACACATACACTATGGTATTCTCTTTCGAAGGATGTGGTGGCCCTGAAAAGGGCCGTTTGGTTTATGTCTCAGAGACAAGGCAAAAGTTAAAAATTATATCCACAAATTAGATATAGGCACAGTTGAAAGCAAACCGCCGACATACGCCCGGTCCAATCCGAGTGAGAGCATCTGCAATGGCTAGTTCAGTGAAATTGTATGTGTACTCCTCGTTATCTTTCAGATATATCTTTAAATAACGAAAACAAAGTTCACATACATTGAATTGAGGACTATAGGGTGGTTGAAACAAAAGTTCAACCCCCTGTCCACGTAACAACTCTCGGAGAACTGGCTCAACTTGACGGCCATGATGGAATCCGCAGTTGTCTAAAATGACGCAATCCCCTTGAGATAAAACCGGATTTCCAAAAGCGTCCACGGTCCTCACGGCTTCTTCAAAGAAATTAACCATTTCCAAGCCGTTTGATGGACCATCAATAATGTCGACGTTGTCGATCCCGGGTGAGCTAACTAGTAAATTTACAGTGTAATTTGCGTTGGTAGCGTGTCTCTGTATTTCTACAGCAGCTTTTCCCTTTTCAGCGTGACCGTACACGCGATTTCCAGTAGTTTTAATAACGGATGATTCATCAAACCAATGTAGTTGTTCGACATCATAGTTGGTAACAATATCTATGAAATTCAGAGTCCACTCTTCGTTGCGTTCCGTCCTAGACTCGGCGGCAACACTGGTCAACTTTTTTCGGCTCATCCCCAAATATTTAGTAATAGCACAATAAATAGTCGACAAGCACGGGACAGTATCGATGGTACACACATTTTCGGCAATTAAATTTATTCTAATCTCCCTCAAATAAATACTTGGCTTAGTCTTCTTGTATAATTCGATGTAAAACGTTATCATTAAGTTTCGGGCATTGCTGTGGACCGCCAGTATCATGTTCAATATCACCAGTTGAGGTGAATTTTTTGCATATATTATATGCAGTAGATTTCGTCACACCAACCCTTTTCGCTATGTCAGCAAAATATATTCCTTCTAAATACAGCTCAACTATCTTTTCGCGAATCGCAGGTGGAGTCGGGAATCCCTGTTTACTCCGCAACATGATGACTGTGAATGTGAATGTGACAGTCACAGTCATTCGAGTGGTGATTGTACGGTGGCCCATCGCGACAATCGTCGATATGTAACCAACTTCCGCGCCGAATCAGCAACTTTCCGCGCCGACTCAGCAACTGCCGCGATATGTAAGCAATTTCCGCGCCGACTCAGCAACTTCCGCCATATGTTAGCAAGTTTCTCGCCGACTTAGCAACTTCCGCGATATGTAAGCAAGTTTCTCGCCGACTTAGCAATTTCCGCGATATGTAAGCAAGTTTCTCGCCGACTTAGCAATTTCCGCGCAGACTCAGCAACTTCCGCGATATGTAAGCAAGTTTCTCGCTGACTTAGCAACTTCCACAAGCGCCGCCTATGGTGACGCCAGTACGATCACGTGATTTCATAAACTGATCATTGGTATGAGGGCGTCTGTTCTCTTTTATCGCGCCAAATAGTGTATGCAGTCCATGTACTTTTTTCATAATCAATTTCCGTGGATTTTTGAAATATACTGTCGGTAAGTGAAGTACACGTGTCATACTTTAAAATGATGAGAACTTTCATTAATGTATTGGCTGTTTTCTTGAAATAGAGCGCCTCGAATCCGACCTGCAATGCATGTCTGCCATGATGTCTAACTGGTCGAAATCTGGCCTTGATTGAGATAGATGAAAAACACTATACATTGTATATATTTAGTTAGACAGGAAATGATCTATATATATTTCCTGTTATTTAAAATAGCTTGGAGTTTGTTGTATGTTACTGACTAGTTATGATCGTATAAACAAGTATTTGTTGTTTTTATGAGACATGATTCTGTATTACCTTTAAAGGGGCCCCTCAAGTTTATTGCCAACTCCGAACGCATAAGCCGGACATTTTTTGATACTTTACTTTAAGTTCTTACATGTACGTCGTTTAATGTCGTATTGTTCTTTCCTATTGTTAATTGTTAGACGAAACAACAATCTCGTACTCATCTGCGTCTTGTATGTTGTATAATATTTACATTCATAGCTGGGCAAGTTTATGCAATATATGCCAAGGATGTAAATGGCTGTTTAATTCATTGTCTTTTATTTTTATTTAAATTACATACTTAAAACAATCCCAGCATACATGTATATCAGCGACATGCTTCAAAATAATAGTTTGCATCAGGGTTTATAATCTTATTTAATGTTGTTTTTAGCAATGGTGTTTTACTACAAAGTAAGACACAGATATGATAAAAGTAGTGATGAGGAGTTATCATTGGAAGTTGGAGATATCATCAAAGTTGCTGGTCTACCCTGGAAATTTAAAGGGCTACCAAGTAATCCAAAGGGATGGTTGTCTGGCGAAAATCAGCGTACAAAAGAGAGTGGCACATTTCCGAGCAATTATGTTGACTATATGGGAGAATCTGTATCACCCCGACCTCCAACTCCCCCACTACCACCAAAGCAGGAGGGAAGACGTAAGTCAAGATTCTACATTTTGTTGATTATAGGGTTACATAATATGTCTATTTTTGTTCATATCTGAGTTATTTCTTATAGTCATTCATGACCAAAATGTGTAATCTCTAAAACCACAAAATTTTAAGTTACAAAGTTTCACACCTACCAATGTTGATTAATATGTAGGTATAGGGTATGCAATGGAATTCCCACATAAATTGAAGAAGTCATGCAAATTGTGAGATGATCACAAAATTGCCACACAAAAAAACATCGTAAATTAATGAGTCTGTGAAAGAACTGATTTGTGTCCATCGTGTTTAAATTGACGTTCATAGCGTTCAAGTGTTCACAAATCATGAAATCTTCACAACGTACATGGTTATTACAGTTGCTTAGCCTTCTCATAGAAATCTTTAGTAATATTAAATACTACAAAGGACATCTCTATTGATTAATGATGCTTTGGGGGATGTCTCTCAGAAGGCTAGCATCACACTATAGCTGCAGCCAATTCAAAGATTACTATGGGATACACTACATTGGAGACATCAGTAGACATAAAAAAGCTGTCCAAGAAAACATTTGTTGAGAACGGAATTTCCTGATGCTCTCTCTTGCTTACTTTTGGCAACTGTCTGAACAACATATACCACTGTCGCTTTTTTTTGAGAAATCAATATATATGCATTTTCATTCTTTTCACATAGTAATAATTATTGAAAAAAATGTGAGAGATTTAACAATGTTGAGTTAACTTGATAGAACTGAATTGGCCAAGCCATGTTTCCTCTTTTTTTCAGTCTTTTTAGTTTCCATGATATTTCAAGAACAATGTGTCAGTCTATAATGAAACTTGATGCATAGGTACTCTGTACTAATGTGCAGATTTGATTTTGATTTGGCTTTGGGTTAAATCCATGCAATTATATTTGCATGACAAGTAGCTCATTTTTTAGCTGTTCCATGACTGTTCTACTGGTATCTACTTGTACGCATACATATTAATTACCTAATTTGCATAATTAGTAAATTTTTGGCTTTTCCACTGATATTTCAAGTAATAATGAAATAATGAAAGTTGATACATAGATGCTCTAGGACAATGCACAGACCTGATAAGTTTTTGGTTTAACTCTGTGAATAATAATTACCTAATTTGCAAAATAATTTTTCACTTTCCTATCAATGAAACTTGGTACATTGATGGTCTGTGACATACACCTTTAAATACACCTTTAAAGTCCCATTTTATTTTTTTACCTTGCCCGTACCATCAAAGATGGAAGGGAAAGG